TTCAAGTGTCACAGTGACATTGTATTTGAATATAATAACAAATTGGGGACATACGTTTAAAGCAAGTAAATATTTCTTAGAGAATTTCACTTTGAAAAATGTGATTTTAGCTGTTTACCAAGTAGGTAAACGCTTTCAGAACTTTTATATTTTAAATATGTAATTATAATATTATACTTTAATTATTAAATATATAATTGAAAACTTTTTATCCGGTAAGAATGTTGTCACTCAATTTCTTGTTAAATTTTCGAATGGTCGAATGGATGGAGCTTCCCCCTTGGGTTTTTTGTTGTAGTCTGTTAAAGAATAGTTGTCCAAAGTCCTATCCCTAGTCCTAGTACGTGAACCAATAAAAAAAAAAACAGTTTACTGAAAATAATACATTTCTCGAATCACAAACGTTCTTTCTTCTTACGGATATTTTTAAATTGATCGACGCAGCTATTAAATGTAACACACTTTCCCCATACATCCATCATCTGCCATAATTTATAGCTTTCTTTCTTAATTTAACTCCACCTGACATTCTAGAAACAGCTACGAAGCTGACGAATAGTCTTTTGCCAGAAAAATCAAGAAAAGCGTACAACAAATGTTTTTTATTTATTTATTCCATATCATTATTATATCATTACAGTAATTACTAATTCGATAGAACGACACAACATTTATACCCACACCAATTAACCTAGATATAAAACATTTAAAAAAATATATATATTTATATACCTACATCTTATAACTAATAATATAGGAAGCAACTCTTGTGAACTCAGCCAGTGTACAAACAAATAGGTCTACCTTAAGAGAAATCTTATTTATTATGTGTATTGCTCGCGTGAGTGGTGCTTCGCTAACCAAGTTGGAATGTGCGCGCGGTACATCCAAAAGTTGAGACTTCCGCCTCAGGTTTCTACTTGGTACCCGTAGACTCAGTCTCTCCATTATATCCGGATTATGAACCCGACCCGTAAGTATCTTAAATATATACACCGACAAGGCTAGCTCTCTTCTGAGGCGTAGCTGGTCATATCCCACCATACCCAGAACAAACAGGGTCGGGTACATAAGTGGATACAAAGGATACACTCCATACAGTCTCTTGTAGAGGTAACGGGTGAATTTATTTTGTATTCGCTCTAGCATGAGACTGTATTTAGCCTCATATGGGGCCCACACCATTGCATTGCACTCCAAGTGACTTCTGACTAACGCATTGTATAAAATTTTAATCGCCCTGATATTTGTGAAGCCACAAGCTATTCGCAATATGAACCCCATATTTCTGTATGCCTTTTTGCATGTCTTATCGACGTGTTGCGCAAACCCAAGATTGGCATTAAAATATATTCCTAGATCTTTAACCTCCGATACTCTAGCCAACGTTAGACCACTAATAGTATAATTGTAACGAGTGGGAAATCGTGCTCTCGAGAAAGATATGACTTTGCATTTCGCCAAATTAAACTCTAATCTATTTCTCCTGCTCCAATTTACCACTCGATCAATGTCTTCCTGCAGCCGCATACAGTCGTCTGTACTTTCTATGGGCATGTAAAGTTTAATATCATCAGCGAAGAGCACGCAAGTTGTCAAGCAAGCACTTTGCATTCTTGACAACTTTTGGTAGGTCATTCAGCATTATCATAAATTCCATCGGTCCCAAATTACTGCCCTGTGTCACGCCTGATCTCGTAAAGTAAGCCTCTGACCTACACCCAGCGTATTCCACGTATTGCGTTCGATCTTCCATAAAGCTAGCCATGAAGTTCAATAAGTGTGGAGTGAATCCTACTTGTGCAAACTTCTGCAAAAGCACGTCGTTATCGACCAAATCAAACGCTTTTTTAATATCGAAATAGGCAGCGTCCACCTGCTTTCCACTGTTCACTACTGGGCTAATATTAGCCATATAATTTAAGAGGTTGCTAGTGGTACTCCTCGTAGACCGAAAACCGTGTTGAGCTTCTGAGAGTTGGGAACTCACTTGATTAAGTATGCACTTTTGAAGTGCCGTTTCGAACACCTTCGTCGGACTTGACAATATAGCTATCGGCCTATGCTGTTCTACTTTATCGCGGCATCCTACTTTAGGAACTGGAATTACCCGACTGCTTTTCCAACACGTGGGAAATGTTTCTGCTTTCAGACACAGGTTATATATGTGTAGCAGTGGTTCAGCAAGTACAACGCCACAATCTCTCAAGATATAAGGCGGTATACCGTCCGGGCCTGCTGCCTTTTTTGGCTTAAGTCGCTTAAGTGCCTCCTGTATATCGCTTAACTGTAAGCTCCCAACGTGGACTCTTGCAGCCCCGTTTGAACAACCCGCTCCGGCCACAGCTGCGCTGACGTCAAGCTTTGGCTTTTGCGTAACATACACAGAGCTAAAATACTCGACAAATGCTTTAACACTCCTATCCGGCGGTAGAACCTCTCCGTTCTCAATAATACCCAATGGTTCTCTATTGACTCTGTTACTATTAATAAATCTCCAGAATGACTTGGGATCTTCAATCACATTTGATTCAACAGCCTTAGTATAATTTTCCAGAGCCAATGCAATTAATTTCTTGACTTCAGCTCTGCAACAGCTATACTCTTTGTAATCTCCTGGGGATTTAGTGACCTTGTATCTCTTATGCAGCGTGGCTTTTTGTTTAATTTTTTTAATTACCTCCTTTGTGTACCATTTTGGATATAAATACCTTGAGTATCCTAGGTTCCTGGAATTTTTTGGCACGCATTCCTCAAACACAGAGTTTAACTTATAATAGAAGCAATTGAGACTCAGATTTAAATCAGACGAGTATACATCAGACCAATCCACTTCTCTAACCTTAGAATACAATGCATTAAAATCAGCTTTCTTAAAATTCCACTGTAACAAGCGCTCACCCGTTTTTGCCGCATCATCCCTTGAAGAAACCGCCCAAACGCGTGGACGCACGCACACAAGAAGCGGTGGATGCTGATCGTCTACAGGTACTAAAGGTTCATCCATCTCACACACCCCAACGCTTTGCATTCCCCTACCTTTGCTCAAAACCAAGTCTAATAGACGGCCATTAACATTTTGTATATTGTTACACTGACTGAATTCACAATAGTTATTAAAGTAATTCCAAAAATAAGTATTTACATTGTTTGAACAAGAATATAAATTAAAGTCACCGATCACTAATACATCATCATACTTGGAACAAAATTCTTGTTTTGAGCAATAAAAAGTATTCAACATCATTCGTATTTGGAGGAGTATAAACAATACATAACATAAACATAAATCTACTTTTTAAATAGACAGTTGCACAAACTATTTCAAACGGGCGAGATTCAATATGCAAATCACAGGGCAAAATTACGCGGCGCAGTTCCAGGCGTGGGGAAGCCACGAGACATTCGCCACCATGCTTGCGCCCATCCACGCGGTCACATCGTAATACCGTATATCTGGGAGGGACTAACTCAGCGTCAGCTATAGAATCATTACATCCTGTTTCCGTAACTGCAAACAAATCTACAGGGATTGATGAGACACTCATATAAAATTCCTTTAACTTGGTCCGAAGACCCCTCACATTTTGGTAACATATCTTAATAGGTCTACTTCCATCGTTTTGGGTTATTTGGTGATCTCCGAAACCACACCCAGTCACAATATTCAACATTAATAGGCCAATTATCCGGTTTACATAATAACTCATATTCATATTCTGGTACCCCGATAATGAATGATGCGTAATCCTTTTCTCTTTTATGATTAATTTGTTCGACTCTTATAGACACTTCCCTAGCATATATGACGTTCTTAACATAGTTCTCCAGACATTCTAAACTTGTTACGACTTTATGACTTGGAAACCTATAGCCATGAGATTAAATAAAGTAGTGTATGCAACTGTCATATAATACCTAACTATATGCACTAATAAACTACTATAAACGACCAAACTCTTCAGCTATATTATAAAGTATTTGTTTAAACTAACTTATTACTTCACATAAAGGGTATATTTATAAATCAGTGTTTAATCATTAATTTTGATAGCTTTTTTATAGCTATTATAAAATAGTCGTATTTATGGGCTATGAGAAACAAGTGACAGTTGTCATTAATCATAGTACAAGCTATTTATATCATTAACTGGATTGTTCTTTTCAGACATTGTTATTGTTTAAACTGCTTATTATGTGAAAATATTTTTATAGGTACATAGCCAATGCTTATTTCATAAAAAATATAAGTGTGGGGATCAGAAAGAAATGAAAATAAGTCTGTATATTATATATACACAGAACTGTTAATCTACCTTCGCAGTTTTAAATATTTTTAGTACATTGGCAAACGGGCAGGATTCTCACCTGATGTTAAGTGATACCGCCAAGGGACACACACTGCCAGAAGTCTCGCTCGTATACTAAAGGATATACTTAAGTAACGTTTTGTTATACAAAGAATTGTTTGGGTTGATCCCTCCTGCCTTGTTTCAACACTGTACGAGGCGTATCAATGCAAATTTTATCAACATCACGTTGAAGTCTTCCACAGTCCGTTTCACAAGGCACTTTCTTTTGCGAACTATCGAACTATGGAATCGACTCCTGGTGGGGGCTTCCCTGAGTGATACGACCACCAACTATTCAAAGTTAGAGTGCACTTCTCCCTCAAAGGCCGACAACGCACCCACTAAAAATGGGCGTCTCGTAGGCTCGTTTGCCCCCCTATTCTTTATAAAAAACACTTCTGGGTTTTATGATACATTTTCGACGTTTTATAATAATAATAAAGTCAAAAGGTGAAAAGTAATTATAAACATTTGCTACGTACTTAAATCCCACAAAAGTACCACATATATTACAACATTAATATCATTAGGCCCATTCCCGCATCATTTCATGAGGCCAAACATTCTATTAACCCTATTAATATTTTTTAAATCCCTTAATTATATTGTTTGGTAATAAATCACGCCCAAACGATTCGTGACTCAGCAATGTTAAATAAAAAAGTGAATTCGTTCCAGTGAGTTATGAAAAGAATTTGATAATTAGGTGAAATAAATTACTTAATAGTTTGCAAATTAATAGTTATACTTTGGGGCGTTTTATTGCCAAATTTTATTACAAAATGTTTTTTTCCTATTCAATCTTCTCACTAAGCCACGATAGTGGATAGTTCGTGAGCTCCAGGAATCTTTGTAATTCTACTTGCGACGCCCTCTACGTTAATACTTTGGAGTTCGTCTTACTAACATACCAAGCGTTTAAATCACATTAGAAATATTTATGGGACTAAAATGCGTATAATGCTGACGTTTAAGGGAGTGCAACTAATAGCACTTTTGCGACGATTCCAGATGCCAATTGCCAATAAATTATATATATATATATATATACACATATATATTCTATTATATTTTCTTTTATGTGTCGTATATTACTGTTCATAGACGGTAAAAACAATTATTATTTATTGTTTTTTTTATTATATTTATGTTGTTTCATTTTTCCCTTGCTTGCTTATCTTAATATATATATATTTAATATATATATAGCCCCGAGAGTATAGCCAGACGTAGGTACTCTCTTCAACTGTTACATTGCATTCATTCGTTACATAGCAATTAACATTTAACTATTTCGCTTATTATTCAATTGATGTACGCGAGTGGTTAAGTCAAACTAAAATCCTCAATTATTATTATTTAAAGCACCCGATGTCCCAGGAACCGTACATTAACCATAATTTTTGCCATCATTCTGCAACATGAAGTATGATTGTTTATTCACTCAGCGCGTCGAGGTGCAAACATTTTTAATAATTATTGTACTTTTCAGACAAGTCGGCCGTAACCTAATAATTCCTGGAGGCACCCGCATTATCGATGCGACTGGAAAGCTGGTGATGCCGGGGGGTATCGACCCCCACACTCATTTGGAACTGGAGATGATGGGAGCCAAGACTGCTGATGACTTCTACAAGGGTACTAAGGCTGCGGTAGCTGGTGGCACTACTACCATCAGTGAGTATCTTCTACAGTACATGGAAATTACTTGCATTTTTATTGTTGTATTATTACTAAACGTCTATTAACAAATCTATCGAAAACTTTGAAGACGACTAACTCAATTCTGAGGAAGTCTGAAGTCAGCAAAATGTTACAATGTTATGTAGCTACACAAAAGGTAAGGTAAGTAAAGAAATCATATTAAAGCGAACCGAAGTTCGCGGGGGCAGCTAGTTATCAATATGATACGGGTTGCAGACCAAGAGCTAAGCTAAGTTAGTTTAGCTTAGCTGGCATAGCTGACGCAGTTTTCCATACTTGTGTGCAGACCGCAAACTATGCGAACTCAGCTATGGGAGCTAACTAAAATATGCGAAGCTAAGTTAGTTGTGTATGCCGATGCGCAGCTACACGAGCTAAGCTAAGCCCCTCGCGCTACCCCGCACACCCTTTGCACATACTATGCAACACTGACTGAGCTTTGGGTTAGCTGTTGGTGTGCACGCTATTTATTTCTAGCTTAGCTTAGCCTAGCTTGCTTGGCATAGCTTAGTTTAGCCTTGGCATAGCTTAGTTTTCGGTCTGCAACCGGCTTAATGTTTATTGCTACTTAAACTGAACTGGGAAATCATTATTCTCCTGAAGTTCTCATTCCAGCAAAAACCAGATTTTTGTTACGATTTGAAAAAAAATTAATGTTTAGTTCACTTAACAAATTTGACTGTTAAGTTTGCTTATAGCTGAAGTATGTTGTAAATCTGTAAAATATAGACATAGACATAACATTTATTACTAACAAACACACACAATATAATAATAATAATCAAAAAGTCGGTTTACTGACGATAGTTGAACGTGACAACATCATAAGAAAATACTGATGGAATGGTTGCTTTTTTCAAAAGAAAATTTTAATTTTAGTTGTTTGATAGATATTTTGTATGGATATAGAGGAGGTGAATGGAAATCACAATTGAATTGATCGATTATAATATAATCGATATAATACGATAAATATATACTTTATATACAATAAAGATGTCGAACGCTGCCGAACGCGGAGGCCGATTGTGCCTCTTTGTCGCTCGTTCCGCGCTCTCGCTTGCCCTTCAAGCCTTAAATGGAACGCCTCAGAGCGAGGTAACGCCGCATGCGTCATGTTTTTTCGTGTGTGCAGCCGGCTCCATCGAATTATAAGACGTTGTCACGTCAAAAATAAATATCATAAAAAATTATGATAAGAAAAAAAGGAATAAGGTACATTTTAAGTGCGTAATGTGTGTGCATTGTGGTTGTAACTGGCCCTGGCTCAGCATCATGCTGAGGAGCAGACTTCCACAGTGCTGGTCATTCAGCCAGAGACAACAGTTAGTTTTCGCCTCAAATATATATTAATTGTATTACAGTGTATTCCCACATCTATACAGTTATAATATATATTATTATTATAAAATTATGTAATTTAACACTTTTATTTTCAGTTGATTTCGTGCTTCCAAATAAGGGTCAGTCCTTATTAGAAGCATATTCCAATTGGAGACAAAAGGCTGACAATAAAGTAAGTGATTTATTTTTTAATTATATATATTTATTATACATGATTATTGCTGCTTCTCTACATGGTATAAAACAATGTCGCGTATTTGTTAAAAGAATACAACTACGCTTTAGTTAAAACGTGAGTCGTGGGCGCAAAATTAATTAAATTTAATAATAAACAAGTTTCATAAAACATCGGAAATCAGACTATGTCTATATTTTTCAAATTTTCATTTATTTTCAACACACAAATATAGTGTTTACAATATTCTTAACTTATATAGTAATATTATTAAAAAATAATAAATAGAAAATTAAAACAAATTTAAAAAGTTTAGTTTCTGTGGCAGTGTACCTTTAATGCTGGCATTTCCTCTTTGTATTGCGCTGGTTATTCGTTGAGCGAGAAAGCACCAGCTCTGGGGTCACCAGTAATATCTATCAAAACAAAGTCAAAGTTTGAATTATTAAAATTATTATATTTTAAATTAGTTTTCTAAAACAGCTTGTACGAGATAAATATAGTTTTACCGTCAAACTTTAACTTAACTCAAGCTTTCAACAGCATTATTTCTTGTAACACAGGTATGTTGCGACTACGCACTCCACGTAGGGGTGACTTGGTGGTCACCATCAGTCAAGAAAGAGATGGAACAGCTGGTGGCTGAACACGGAGTGAACTCCTTCAAGATGTTCATGGCATATAAGGACGCTTGGATGCTGGAGGACTACGATCTGATGGTTGCCATGGAAACCTGTGCTGAGCTGAGGGCGTTGGCTCAGGTATGTCGCGTTAATAGTAGTTAATCTTATGCAACTTTTGCTTGATACTGATAATATTTATCTAATTTCATATTAAGTCCATCGTTTACATATAAAAGATGAAATTTTCTTTAGGCTAACATGACCGTGGCCTCTTCTTCTCTATTAAGACGAGTTCATACGTGCAGACGCAATTGCTTTCTCTATTCATAACTCATCTACTCATACTACAGTGTCCAAAACAGCTGCACAAGATAGACTTTATGTCTAGGCTCAGGGGTACAAACACTTGCATATAGGCTTCTGAAATTTTTCTCAGAAATCGCTTAGAGATTTTTTGTCTCTGTATTCATTATTAGCCTGCCACTGAAGCAATTTGAGAGAGCTACTTTATATGGATATTAATTATTAACTGTTACTTTTTTTGCCTTATAACAAAAAAGGTTCTATCAGCCAACTGCTAGATGATACTGGCCATTTTGAAAATAAAACCGTAGTTAATTAATTGTATATTATTTGAGATTTCTTTTTTCCCTTCCTCTTCATAAAAAAAACAACCTCAATCGACTATGTATTTGCGTGTTGTTCCCATGCCTCCTGCTGATAGAGGACAACTCTTTGTTTTTAATTTATTTTATTATTATTTACTACTTAAGATGTCAAGTGGAACATGGTATAATGGTTACAGCTCCTGACAAACGTTGTGTAAAACAAAAAACTTGGTGAAAAAAGAGTAGCGGAGAGTTTATTGCCAGCTCTTCTCTTCCGTTCTCTTGATTTGAAAACTGGCAGTAAATGTAAAATAAAAGCATTTCATATATATTTTTTTTTTGACGTTCATAAGTGTACATTGTGTTACCTATATGAATAAATGATTTTGAATCCAATTGGTTGAAGTCACGTCAATATATATACATATGTTTAAAACTTTTCATTACGTAATTACAGGTGCACGCGGAAAATGGCAACATTATAGCTCGTAACACCGAGAAGCTCCTCGAGGCTGGAGTGACAGGACCCGAGGGTCACCAGCTCTCGCGTGATGAGGAAGTGGAAGCCGAAGCCGTCAACAGGGCTTGTGTGATCGCCAACCAGGTATTTTATAATTAACTGATCTAAATAAATTGATGGGATAAACTTAAGAATATTTTAGGTACAAATTAATAATAAAAATCCTTTTTGGTATGGAAATATATTGTTCTTAACTGTATTTTAAATACATGAAAATGAAAGTGTTAATTGCGCAGAAAAATTTATTGGTATTGCCGGGAATCAAACACAAGACCTCAGGGTTGATAGGCGTGCGACTAGGCCATAAATATATATTTTGTACGCTTGTGTTTAGACATTTATTAACTACATGTTCTAACGATTTCTTCTTATGATTTTTGTGCTTTCTCATAATCATAATTTTGAATATTTCGTATCGAAGTTCAAGATTAATTTTAATATTTTAATTAAATAGTTAGAAATGAATTTTTTTTTCACTTTGACTTTGTCCTATGGTCAGAACCCAGGATCGTTTCCTTCACATTTAATCGTTCACCATTCTCATTTGGTTAACAATGTTAATCAAAGTCGATAATATTTTTTTAAAGACTTTTGTCAACATAACATTCAAAACTTCTATAAAAATACTAGCTGACCCGGCAAACATTGTTTGGAAATTATATTATTTCTAGGAAACATTTTTTTAGTTTAATAAAAATCACCATCTTCTATAATAAAATATTGGGGTGGTAATATGATCGTAGAGGGGTGAAAATTAAGGGTTGTATGTATTTTTGTATGCTGTACCATAAAAAAATAAAAACAAATAAAAATAAAAATTAAGGGATGAACCCTTAGCATTTAGGATGAAAAATAGATGTCCGATTCGCAGATATGATATAGATATGCACACAAAATTTTCACGAAAATCGGTCGAGCCATTTCGGAGGAGTTTAGTTACAAACACCGAGACACGGACTTATATATATAAGATTACTCGTATTTCAGGCAAATTCTCCCCTATACATTGTTCACATGATGTCCAAGAGCGCCGTAAAGGCTCTACGGATCGCGCGTACGCGTCAACGACCACCAGTGTACGGTGAAACCTTGGCCGCTACAGTTGGTACTGACGGTGAGTCCATTTTATATTGGATATCCTCTTGACTCTTTTTTAACTCAACTTTACGGTCAAGCAGGAGTACCGAAGGAAGACGAAAAATATTATTAACTTCAAGTAAAAGTCGTCAATCGTTTAACCGACTCCAAAAAAAGATATCAATTTGTATGTATGTGATATTTTTGGAATTTAATACGCCTGGAAGCCTTCCACGGTCAGCTTATCTAAGCATTTTAGACATGTGGAAGGTGGAGGTGTTCCCTGGAAAATACGACCTCCAATCGCTTAAATGTTGTTCTCCGTTATAGTAGCAACCGCTAATAATAAATAAAACCACCACCTCTTAAATTTGTGTAAAAACTAAGTAAAGGACAAACACTTGTATTAAATCTCGTGTATGTTTTCCATATATGTATATGTCGACTCTCAGTCATATCGAAGTGATCCTTTTAAAACATGAAATTTATATTATATATACTAAAACTTTTAATTCGATTCCAGATTTGACAAGTACTAAGTAGTGACGTTGCGAAATTATTCGATACGGAAATGGAATATTTCCGGATCGATTCCTCTGTTCCGGTTTATAGTAGTATATCTAAACAATTACTACTTTAATAGAAACTAAGTATATCAGGAAATTAAATATTTCTGAACGGATAATTTAGTTATGACAATTAATTTTATTAAGGATCTGAGAGTTTTCTTTAATAATTGTGTGTGAAATGAAAAAAAAAATGTGAAAGAACATGAAAAATATTAACTTTTTATAAAATAAAGCAGCGGTTACTAATTAATAAATAACTATGTATTTATTTAAATAAAAATCAATAATTTAGTATTTAATTGGCACACCAATATTATGATTACATAAACATAAATCGCGATTGTTTATAAATTTTTGCGTTCATCACTACACTATTATATGTGGTATTTTACAAAATGACAGTAATGCTAATGTCAAATGTGGTATCGAAATATAAGTCGTGGTATATATTATTAGCATTTTATACTTATTATTTTCACGTAATAGACTCAGAAACATGTTAGACTTTAAATTAATAAAAATAAATAATTAATACATAATAAATTTCTATGTTAATCGAAAAATTATTTCTATCATATTTTTGTTAAATTTTCTTATTTTGTGTTCCTACACCGCGTAAAGGCGATTTAATATATTTATATAAAATTACAGGTACCCATTACAAGAACGCTTGCTTCCGTCACGCGGCCGCTCACGTCTTATCTCCACCTCTGAGACCTGATCCTTCCACTCCCGAAGCCATCGTACAGGCGCTTGCTGAGTAAGTATAAGACCAATTTATAAATGTTTTGGGTCAATATTTTTCACGGATAAAAGTGGTTTTTATAACTTTTTTTGCGTAATTTTTAATGTTTTTAACGTTTTAAGAGCTTTATATCAGATATATATCCGACCAAATATTCGAAGACCATAATAATTTTAAATAATATTTTTTAAAACAACATATTCTAATTAATGTTAAATGTTACATGTGTTATAAATTTTGATAATAGACTATCTAAAAAAGGGTTTAATTATTATTACTATTAATAATGTCAGTGGCTCTACATCTCTACGTCTTGCCCACAGATTTTGTATCTGCTTAGTGATCATTTATTCATTCTTAATAGTCGGGTAGATGCAACCTTCTGTGCCAGTCACACGCAGTCAACTTTTTGGGTCTAAGGCATAATAATGTTTTCCTCCACCATACATCGCCCATTAATGCAAGCCGATGTTTCTAGTAATTATGATTTTTTATGCGTCATATTCCGATGAAATTGTATATTCCAGTGACGACCTCCAACTAATCGGCAGTGATAACTGCACTTTCAATGAGAAGGAGAAAGAGTTGGGCAAAGGCAATTTCACCAAAATCCCAAATGGTGTGAATGGTGTTGAAGATCGAATGGCCATTTTGTGGCAGAAGGCTGTTAACACAGGTAAAGTGACGCCGACATACTTAATTTTTTGCAAAAACATATATTTTTTTTATATCCTTTTTTAGATTTATATGAATGTTATAAACTAATGCTTAAACATAAAAAAACAGGTTTCATAAATTATTAGATAACGGGCGGCTAAATACTGTCATAATTAGCGAAATAATTCCTGACTAAAATAATAATAGTAAATAAGTGCTAAAATTATTTAAATTTCTACTATACAGTGTAATTAATTCGTTTCCATCGTAATATTTCGAATAATCATGTGTTTTAATGAGTTCGAGTATTCAGAGACATTTTTGAAAAATTCAGATACTCGCAAATCCACTATAACTCTGCCACTGCTCTGAATAACGCTATTTTTCATTTATTTTTAATTATAACTAGCTGTCCCCGCGAACTTCGTTTCTCTTTTTAGTACAACCAACATGGAACATTTTGCTATGCTACCCCAGAGACTGTTCGGTTTTCCGGAATGAAAACTTTTTAGGTTTTTCTGTGAGTTTTCTCTATATAAATCTCATAGTTCAAGTTATAAGTTCTTAACTAACAAATAAAACATAGGGGTTGATCGTAGAGGGTAGATGAAAATTAAGGGTTGTATGTATTTTTGTATGCTGTATCATAAAAAATAAAAACAAGAAATTAAAAAAAAAAAATGGGGTGGACAGTTGGACACATTTATCACTTAAGGGTTTGAAAGATAGATAATAGCCGATTCTCAGACATACTGAATATGTATAAAAAATTCATAAGAATCGGTCAAGCCATTTCGGAGGAGTATGGGAACGAACATTGTGACACGAGACTTTTATATATTAGAACATATATTATATATATGTTATAGGTATAATGGACCCGTGCCGGTTCGTGGCGGTGACGAGCACAACCGCTGCTCGCATCTTCAACCTGTGGCCCCAAAAGGGTCGTATTGCGGTGAACAGTGATGCGGATGTAGTGGTTTGGGACCCGAGATTGGAGAGAACCATTTCTGCCGCTACGCACCATCATGCTGTTGATTTTAATATATTTGAGGTACAGTAATTTAAAATTTTAACAGGCAAAAGATGATGTGTTTGTCATTAAACTGGCTGGACCGATTTTGATAAAATTTATTGTCTCAGATTTACAATCAGATATTTGTTGTGTGTAGTCTTGGTTTCGTTAGTACGTTGTATTTGTTTCCAAAATGTACATATAGATGACACTCAAACTGCCGTAAATGCGTTGTCGACCTTTTAAACTTTTAGTTTTATACTGTACTAGCGGATCCGACAGACGTTGTCCTGCATGATATTTCAAGCGATCAGTATATTAAAAAAAGTATGATAGTACCGACTGCAGCGCCATCTGCTGGGCTGATTTGTGGATCTAAACCATCCAGGGCGTCACCCAAACGCATACAAAAAAAAATTATTCAAATCGGTTATATAAAGATATTATATAGCTACATATTAGATCATACAGTTTCTTCTTGTCTTCATTTCTAAAAGTTTTTTGGTGTAATGTGCTGATCTAGTTATAAGTATTACATATTTTACCTTTTTTAAATAAATTTATTGATTATTATTTTATATGTATTTTATCAATATACGATAACGATATTCATTTTCGATACATCCTCTTTGACGATATTTGCAGCACGTATTCTACCAATGTTATGTCAAACGCCATAAGGTTACATCAAAAAAGTTTGAATTGTATGGTGGTTCAGTATTCTTTAATTTTTTAATTTTTGTCTTTCATAAGATTATAATTGAAGGTTTTTACCTAGTTAGTACTAGATTATGACTTATAAAGCAAAAGGCAAATGTTGAGTGATACCTCCCATGGACACTCACATTGCTAGAATGCTCGCAAGTGCGTTGCCAGCTTTTAAAACTGTGTTAATGCTATCATCATTAAAACCCATTTTTTTAGGGTCAACACGTAGTGGGCAGTCCTCAGTACGTGATAGTGAACGGACGAGTGTGCTTGGACGACGGGAACCTCAGAGTTGTTGAAGGTGAGATAGTCAACAATTCAAATTGGGGCATGGGGGAGACATTTTCATTTATGATCCTGGTGCAATCATTGCTTTACCAGGTCTCATCTAAGACCTTCGGTACACGGCTTTGGCCACAAGAATTAAGAATATGTGAATATGTAAGATGTGTTTAGGCATAATATGACTTACACAAAAAAATCAGTTTTTCAAACCTACCTTGATTTCAATAAGATAACTTTTGTTGCTATTTTAACCAACTTCAACGAAAGTCAATCAGACTTGAATGTACGCGATATTGTTGAATTTTGATATATTAATTCTAGTTGTGGTCAAGCTTCATCAAAATCGGTTCAGTAGCTTTTATATATCACGTTCTGTTTACAAACAATGTTGAATAAGTATTT